AGACAAATGACCCACAATATGGGACAAAATTTTCTAGCAAAAGACAAAAAATGCCCCACCCCCGGGGGTAATTGTAAGTCGTGTGAGCGAAGTTATCTCCTGCATAATATCTCCTCGCCAATCTCCGGGCCACCGCATTAATCGCCCACATTTTAAAATATTAATATTTTGTTCCAAAACTCAAAAGAACATAAAAACATATTAATATAAACAAACAAATGTCGAACTTTCCACAACAATATAGATTCCATGCATGGATGGATGGACATATTAACATTGTTATGGTGCGTTATTTATGCGTCAAATATATTTTCCAATTAGGTATATTTTCAACCTTTAGGCTTCGGGTTCAAATTATATTAACGCTACCGTAACACAAATAGCATGAAACCTTATACCTTTTATATATTTTATTTACTTTCAACAATATGAATTAGCGTCTCTATAATGTTATAATAATATAATAATCTTAATATATCAACTTATCTCTCTATTTGTTTGAGCTGAGCACAACTTTGAATCTTTATTCTTTATACTTTGTATTCCGTCTTCTTTAATAATAATTATTCCACAATATTCCAATGTTCTTCAGTTTACTTGACGAGGCTTAATTATCTAGCCTTTTAATTATATACTTCAGCCTTTGTTGGCTTATGAAGTATTTTAGCCTAAATGGCTCTTCTCACTTCACTCTCCGCTCTCGACTCTCAGGTTGTGCTCAGCTTTTATAATAAATTTTAGAGGAAGAAATCTGTAACTATGACTAATTTCCTCTACGCAATATGTTTGTCAAAGCAAGTTCTAGCAGTGTTTATCAACCACAAAACTATGTCCTGTTTGCGTGGTTTGTGGTACTAGGCGTTTCCCGTGGTTCTTTAATCTCTCTAAATATTTGCTTATTCATGCGAGGAAGGTTGCCTAAGGTCTTCCTCTTATAATTATAACAGTATACTGAATATATAGTATTGAATATATTAAATAACATGGTATAACACTGCCATGTTACAACATATTAATATAGATTGAAAAGGAATGAATATATTTATAAAAACCTCTCGATTTCACTTCCTTGCGATTGCCAGCATGCCATCTTGACCTTTGTCACATGGTATAAAATGGTAGAATCAGGGGATTCCATTGGACAAAACGGTACAAAATAGTACAAAATGGCCGCCGATAATCCCTAACAATCCCCACTATCTTCCCGGGGTAATTCAGCAGAATGATAAAACCAACAAATTCCCGACATGGTTGGGACAGAATTCGATGACAAAAAGCCACTAAATCCCCACCACATCCCCTCTTTGCCTGGGGTGGGGCGGTTGAGGTTTACTTTGAAAGGTGCATAACAATGTACGTATCTCAGAGATATATTTTTACAGACCACCATACGTTGTACAATGTACAATGTACATACCTTGCACAATACCTTGTACATGTTATATTAATACATGTAGGCTATTAAACTGCTGGTAAGTTAATATATGCAGACAACAACCACACTGTCGTCTGTCGCTGGGTTATTAGGGAGCTTAAGCATGCAAGACGGCAACACGAGGACGACGGCCAAAACAAATTCCTTCAAATAAATGATAGTAAAGAAAACTTGTCGTATATTATAATTCGTATGAATTTAATACAGTATAAGAAGCTGAAAACATTGACTTTTTATATGTTCGTGAAGAGTTATACTGACCGCATTTTAAGTTGCACTTGTTACGCCTTGAAATGCAGGCGTTGTATAAAAGACGTGAAAATTTGTGATTTGCCGTTGTAAACAGAACGACGACCACGTCTGAAACTCCCATGGGACTTTAATTATTTATTCACTTTTCACTGACTCATTGTATTGGTTGCCGTCGTCGTCGTGTTGCCGTCCTACATGCTTAAGCTCCCTATTATTAAACTGCATGGGTTGGCAGGTTGCTATAGGAAATATCTTTACATTATAAAGCATACCGGGCCATGATACCGCACAACATTCAGCGTTTTTAAAACGTTCTGAAAGCGAATTTCTATGTCTATGACGAGGTCTATGAACATCTAGAATGAACACTAAACTCATCGCCTTGGCGCATCGCCACACAAACAAATATAAACCCAAAAGTACATCATTTTGACCCCAAAATATATATTAAAAAGACGATCTATTGTTTCAAATACCTCATATCGAACGCTAAACAGTAGATCTAAATATAAATGCCTTCATGTAATATCACCAGAAAGAAATAAAGCTATCCTTACCTGAATTATTCAAAATATTGTCGATTTGTGAAAATCCAACATGTGGCATGTGAGCGCAATACAAAATAAATTTTGACCGCCCCCCCCCCCTCGTTTAAAAAAAAAACTTCCTGAAGCCTTAATTAGTTCCCCGGAATTACGACATCTTACATATATACATACATACAAACAGACAGACACTGAAGACACAAATCGAAATCTCGATCGACTGTACATGACTCGGCCAAAGAGACTGGGCACAAGTAACGCAGGCACGCAATACTTCATGTTAAGAATAGTGTGCTGCCTTCGGCAGCAATTAGCTGATATTTCCAGTGGTGGCACCAGCAGTGGGGACAATCCCCCCTAAAATATTTTTCAAACCAAGAATATTTATTAATGGCCTAATAAATAAATTAAAATTAAAATTAACACACCACATTATATGTATATAAAGTTACTTAGTGAATTTAATATCATGGCAATTGTGCCAATTATGTTGTTCTTGAACAACTGTCTGAGTGGGTTTTTGCTCTATTTGGGACACAATTTTTGTATGCCCTCTTTTAAAACACATCCAGCATACCATTCCTAGTAAATGTACAATACATTTTAATATAGAGGGGCCACAAACAATTTTTGACCAGTGAAGGGGGGAGGGGGGCAGAAAATATTTTGAACATAAAGGGGGGGGGAATAAAATCTATAGTTTGTAACATGCAATATCAAAAGAGTGATGGATATATACAGTATACATACATTGAACAGTAATGCCCAATATATTGAACCTAAAAGTTGTGTTCTAGGCACTGTATATGGAAATTGTCATCCTCATCATCACCAAAGAATTTGTCTAAAGGGTCATGCACTGAGTGCATTTGCAAATGCAAGATTCAGTTGACAGTTGTTGTCCTGCTTTTAACACAGTGGACCTCTTTTGCATGTTCTGTTTCTGCATGTTGTTGAAAGTCTCTTCTGCCATCTCTTCAATATACAGTAATGCTTCCACCAGACACAAATGTATTTTTTTCAATTAGTAAAAGTAGGTCTGATTTGTGGGTTTTTTTGGTTGAGGACCAACAACTTTTCAGGTATAAAGTCTGAATTATCTACTTGGCTATCATTTTCAATATTTACAATATTCTTTATTTTCAATATTTACAATATTCTTTATTTTCAATATTTACAATATTCTTTACATCTGCAAGTAAACTGAGTATGAGGGCAGGAAAAATGGTTACGAAACTGACTTAGAGTAATTGAATTCAGAATTGGGGTGGAGGGGGGGGGGGATAAAATAGTTTGTTAGAAAAATAAGGGGTCATGAAAAATTTTTGCTATTCATAAAAATTTCGTCCAGCCCCCTACCCGGCATTAATAATGACTTGTCCCTTAGCAAAGAATGTAACTCATGCACACTGTTACATATAACACTTTAACACTTTAAATCGCACCAATGACCTGAGCAAACCTTTGTGTAACTATTGTTGGTATTAGCATCCGGTCTCAATACTAATTTCTGGTTTTTCCCCTTTATCTCATACATATCAGCACTAAAGTGATCTGAACACAAACGACTACTTTTCGCAGGAACAGACTTCACTGTCGCATGTTTATTCATATACTCAACCCATATGCTGTACAACTCTGGATGCTTCTTTGCATCAGGAATGCTTAAATATGTGAAGGGAAAAAATTCAATAACAATATGCTTTCATAAATACAAACAGGCCTATAAAATACACTGTACAGTAGGTAGGAAAAACGCACACAAGAACATCACAAGGAACAATGGAAATATAATATTTGAATGAAACAAACTGCATGCAGAAACCTCAGAAAAGAAGCCATAGTCGAGAAAAGCTGCTGACACATGCACGTGAACAAATTAACAAAACATAACTACCGTTTGATTTACATTGTCATTTGCAGAAAAAACTTCTCGAATGATATCTAAGCACAAAATAATATTTCCTTACCAGTGTGAATACAGTCCGTCTTTGTCAAAGGAGTTGTGACAACCATAAACCGAGCAATATTAACGCATGCCGGCATGTTGACAAAATGTCAAAATATAAAGTTGTGAAACTTGATTACACAACAGTAGGGCCGCTTAGGGGAGAGAAAAGTGGCAATTATTTAAGCTAGGTTCCAGGTGTCTTACACGGCCAAAATCATTATTCTGTAGTACAATTTTATAGTGGACTGCTGCCGTTTACTGGCTGCCAATATGTAAATTAGGTTGGCAGCCAGTAAACAATGTAGACACTTTTTTATGCTGAGTGGCCCTACTGTACTTTTTCTATACTGTGCTTGATTACACAGTGTATACTTTTTGCATCCAGGAGGGTGCGAAAACAGGTGGCTTTCAAAAATATTATGTGGTCAGTGGTAAATCGCCCGAAAATAGTGGACGCGGAGCTTGAAATCCGCCATGTTTTTGCGGACACTTTTTTGTTTGACGAGATATGGGAGCACGGTTTCCAGATATATATAGTAGAGCTCAGTGGTTTTGACACGATTTTCATCAGACCTACGTTTCGCCCTTTCCGTCGACCCGCGAATTTTAGGGCGGGCGAAACGTAGGTCTGTTTTCAGGCTAACTAGATAGCGCATCTCTAGCTTTGAATAAATGGCGGCCATGTTGAAGTTTCCCGCTCGCTAATAAACGCTTAAAAAACAACATTAACTTGCATCATTTGAATAGTTTGAAAATGTATTTGGAATAGGTTTAACCTAATGTTTAAGTTCCCTGTTTAAGAAATAGAAAACATACGAGTCTTCTCATTTCATGGGAATATCCTGAGTCTGCAATCACGGCTTCAATTTTTGAATTGCAGAATAATTAGATGCACTATCTAGTGTACATAAGATATCTACGATCACTTTCAACAAACTAGACTTTACAAAATTTCTTACGACATATGAATTAGAGGAAATTCTGTCTAGCTGTTGTAAATAGCAACACTCGAGCTCTATTTTATAAACGTACACGGTTTATAAACGAGGCCGAAATCGTTGTTCTTCTAGCTAAGACCCCGAGAATTCAGAAGTGAAAACTCTCGCCAACTGACTCACATCAAAATTTGAATCAGCTTAAAGCTAATGAGAGTGCGATCAATAACGAACGAGATTTGCAACTTTCGTGAACGCTCATGCGTCCTCGTTCAATCGAGGCTTGATAATTAAACTTACTGAGAGCCACGTAAGTTCTAAAAAGAGCTTTTTGAGATGTACATTTCTTAAAGAACTGTCATATAAAGTAAAGCATCTTGCTGTATAAAGAGCATAATAATACGACTGGCTACCATATCAAACAATAAAATATTTTGACAATTACATACCGATTACTCCGTGGATATCAGCAACAAAGTCAACAGGACGCCAGAATCTTTGATTCCTATTTGCTCTTGATTATTACCAATTCTTCTAAATGATGTGTCATCACGAATTTCTTTCCAAACGCCGGTTAAAATATGGTAAAGCTTGCATCCACGTAAAGCTGACACAACATTACGAGAGAGTAACCAATGATTCACGAGGCGTTGATTGCATCTATTTTCCTTCAGTGCAGGGCACGAGTATACAGGGTGTACAGGGTGTATAAAAAAAACGCAACCTCGGAATTTCCCAAGAAATCGACATTGTTTTAAAGACAAAAGATTTTAGGCGCCTGGGAATTTAAAATAGCACAACTATCAAAATTACTGCGCACGCGAGTGCATAAAGCAAAATTTATGCATTTATTTAATCACAACAACAGTAATATGATATATTAGCAATTTGATTTCAATTCCCAGGGGCCTAAAATCGTTTATGCTTAAGAATTGCAAAGTGATTTCTTAGGAAATTCCGAGGTTGCGCTTATTTTTATACACCCTGACAGGGTGACCCTGTAGCATAACTGTCAAACTTACTGCACACGCGAGTGCATATAAGCAAAATTTATGCATTTATTTAAACACAACAACAACAATATGACCTATTTAGTTTAACTTATTAAGTGTCATTAATTAAATAAATGCATAAATTTTGCTTTATGCACCTATCAATTGATACCCCGACCACCCACACCCCACCCCGGGACATAGTGGGTATTTGATTTGACATTGGTTCTAAAGTGTATAAACCCCCACCCTACCTGGGCATGTTTGCCACAAAAACCCCCACCCTGGAGGGACAATCTGACAAAACTACCATTTTTTTCAACTGAAAGTTCTGTATAAAAGTACACACTTCATGCAAATATAAATATCAATCACAACTTTATTAATGAACAGAACAATGTACTAAATTAATTAACAATTATTCGCCTCAGGCTCGTATTATTTTAATTTTGCTTATTTCTCTATCAGTAGCTTCCACAAAACGGCTAGCCGCCATTTTGAAAATTTCAGGGGGTTTTATTTTCACTGTAGGTGAATATAACATCTTAATACGTCAAATTTTACCAATCAACTTGTAGGAGTTGTTATGTTCACTTGTACCAAAATACTAATTGACATTAGTATAAATTTCCAGGTGACTATTGATTTTTCTGCATTCTGATTGCTCAAGATTCACTGTCTCTGAAGTGATAGTCACTGACCAGTGACTATAGCTTTTTTTCAAAATGGCTGCTCGTTTTGCCGTAGTAACAGAGGAGGAAATTGCCAAAATTAAGGAAGATGGCATTCCGAAAAAAAAACAAGCAAGCTACAAAATATGGTTTTAAAATATTTCAAGGTAAAATATTAAACTTTACGTGCTTTTATTTGGAAAAAAACTGGCTTAGTCGCAACGCGACACAGGGCCGTGTCTGAGATTTAAATTTTGTAAACAAACTATTTATATAAAGTTTGTTCGTTCACTGCAACCAGGTATATCAATCATGTTTCGCTCGCTACTCTTGTTTAAATAAATGATTACAAAGCCCAGTCGAATTGTAAGTCGAATTGTAATCAAGACCCAAGACCCAATTCTATACCATGCGGTGACTGCGATAAAGAGTATTTGGGTCAGTCTAAACGCCAGTTTGGTACACGGCTAAAAGAACATCAAAAGGCTGTTTCAACTCTAGACAAGGGAAAATCAGCTTTAGCCGAACATGTATGTTACACCAAACACGAGATTGCGTGGGAAAACTCTAAAGTAATTACCACAAACAATCGTTACGGTCAAAGACTTTGCCTAGAAGCGTGGCATATAAATATGAGTCATCATGCTTTGAATAGGGATGACGGCGCCTATTTGCCAGAAGAATATATGCATCTTCTTGGCAGGTGACGTCATCCCTTGGGTATTTAAGAAGCCTCGATCGCAGTTTCAGATCACCCCTGATGAAGACACTAGATTGGAGTGTCGAAACGTTGGGTCTTGATTACAATTCGACTGGGCTTTGTAATCACTTATTTAAACCAGAGTAGCGAGCGAAACATGAAACTATTTATAGTCAAAATAAATTTATTTGAAGTGAATTTTTAGGGGCCGACCATTTAACTTTTGAGGGGGGGGGGGTGATTTTGAAAAAAAAATTCCTGCAAGGCTATTCTGGACAAAAAAAAATACCTGCACTAACAAACTGGGGAAAAAATATCCTGCCCCAGTATTTGGTGGGAAAAAAAATGTTGCAAAACAGCATGGTTGCAGGGATCGATTTGACCAGTCCCAGAAGATCAGGTTAATTTCTTGTTGGAAAACTCCTCAAAATGCTGGAAATAGCTTATCTGAGCTTCAAAAAATCCAAAATTTTCTGGGGGGGCATGCCCCCAGACCCCTCTAGAGGCTCGCACCTTCGGTGGTCGACTCAGTTGTTGCTGCCCTATAACGCATACTTATTAGTTAAACCATGCATATATATGCTGTAGGTAGCTGCAGTGATACAGACAGGGCTGTAGCAAGGCGGGTAATGATTGGGGGTGGTTAACCCCCCCCCCCAACTTTTTTAGAATCAACATATTCAGAAAATCGGGTTGGCCATTCGGAAAATTACGGCAATTATTTAATAGTAGAACAAAATTTTAGTTGTTAAACAGAGAAAATATTATAAAATTGTATTGTCACTATAAATTGTAAGCAAATTGTAAATTTCGTCATACTAAAACGCTTTTTTCTGACCATCAGCATTCTGTCAAAACTTCCCCAAAGTCCAGGAAATGGCATTTCAGAGACTCGAAATTTAAAAATTTCCTCGGGCCTCCGGCCCTTGTTTTCTGCCCCCAATAAACAAAAGCTCCCTACCGCACTGCTTCTGTAATATGTCTGTGCGTAAATTATGCATATTTTTGTTAATTGTAAATTAAGTCTTCATTTTCCGAGTAGCAAACACCTTCATGGCTAATAGTATGCCATGATATATTCGGAAATTATTTTCGTCATTCGGAAATTTTTGGCCTACACCCCCCCCCCCCAACTATACATGCTAGCTACGGCCCTGGATACAGACTTGCCGACTGGAACTTCTCCAGGTCCCCCGCTAATTATGTCCTCTCCAGTTGCACATCCTTAAAAAAGGCACTGAACCAAATGTTATACCTCATAGCAAAATGTATTATTAAGAGCAATGCATGAAGCTAAAAAACTCAACGTTAACTATAATCTAAATAGTATAAGCTATTGAAAAAAAAATGCTGCGAAAGAAAGTGTGGCAAAAAAAAAATCGTACATGGTGATGGTGATAAAAAAAATATCTTGCACATAACGATCCCAGAAAAAAAATTCCCTGCCAGCAGTAAATCACCCCCCCCCCCTCAAAAGTTAAATGGTCGGCCCCTTAATTAATTTTGATCCAGTTCAAGGACTGAATTAACGTTGATCCGGTCCTAGGACTGAATCAATGTACTTCATCAGGTATCCAGTATTATCATGTGAGCAAAATAAAGCAATATGGTTGGCTAATTTACTCATGAATTATTAATCGGAGTTTGAGATATTCATGCAGATACAATTATTAAGTCAAGAAAGTTTGATGATGACTGCGATGGAGAGATTAAAGGTAAAGAAGAACTTGTGTGGGAGGTAAAAACTGACGCAAAATAAGTATTAAAATAAAGAAACATTGTTCTGGACATATTTGTGATTCTCGATGTTTCCTCAAATGTTTCCCTGTTTGCCCACCCGTGGAAACATTGTTGCGGAAACAAATTTTCTTCCCGAGAAGCAAAAATGTTTCCTTGGCGAATTCAGAAACATTTGATGTTTCCCTATGTTTCTCACTAATGTTTCCCAGTGTTTGCCCACTCTTGGAAACATGGCGAAACATTGGTAGGAAACAATCAACCTCGTTCCCAGGCTCTTTGCTCTTGTGAAGCAAAGAGCCTGGGAACGAGGTTGGGAAACAATGTTTCCGCAACAATGTTTCCTAGTTTGCCCAGGGTTTTAATTGCATCAGGTATGGAAGTAGTTTGAAGATTTAGACTCTAGATTTTAGAGTTATTGTATAAGGATCGAGAAAGTCCAGTTCTTGGCATTAATCCAACATTTGACATGTTGTCGAGTCTTGCGAAATTTCTCCCACAGTTGAGGCGTGTTCTTAGCCTTTGCTTTTCTCCTTATAGGAACTCCTTCATGTTGATGGCGTGAAGCAGATCCTTGAGGAGGCGTGAAGGAACGCTTTAGCGTTGTTTTCAGAATAAAACTATCGGCAGCAGTAAGGAAAGCAGCTTTCCACTTGGACCAGGCAAAATTAATGTCGGCACAGTGATTGCGAACAAATCCACTAAAGGAGCCTCCGAAGACAGTTTAGGAGGCCAACAAAATCTCCCTTTGAATAATTATAAACTATTCGCTTGGTGGATTGTTTCGGTCGTTGATGCAATTTTAAGTCAAAAGATATAGCTTTATGGTCCGAGTGTACAGAGATGGAATCATCATCAATAATTTCAAAGTTGTCAGTGAAATGTGTGAGAATTACCAGGTCAATTGAGATTGGGCTATTCCATTTAATATCCGTACCCCCCCTGTCGAGGATACATGTTTTTCATTGTCATACCCCTGAAGAATTCCAAGCTCAAAACTGTTTACCCCTGAAGAATTCCAAAATTCCAAGCTCAAAACTCTTTACCCCTGAAGAATTCCAAGCTCAAAACCTTTTACCCCTGAAGAATTCCAAAATTCCAAGCTCAAAACCCTTTACCCCTGAAGAATTCCAAGCTCAAAACCTTTTACCCCTGAAGAATTCCAAGCTCAAAACCCTTCACCCCTAAAGAATTCCAAGCTCAAAACCCTTTACCCCTGAAGAATTTCAAGCTCAAAACCTTTTACCCCTGCAGAATTCCAAGCTCAAATCCCTTCACCCCTGAAGAATTCCAAGCTCTGAAAAATTTCAATCTCAAACCTCTTTACCCCTGAAGAATTCCAAGCTCAAAACCCTTTACACCTGAAGAATTCCAAGCTCAAAACCATTTACCCCTGAAGAATTCCAAACTCAAAACACTTTACCCCTGAAGAATTCCAAGCTCAAAACACTTTACCCCTGCAGAATTCCAAGCTCAAAACCCTTTACCCCTGAAGAATTCCAGGGATCCTCGACACGGGGGGTACGGATATTTAATGGAATAGCCCATTATGGCCCACGAGCCAGTAGATGATCATGAGTTGATTAATTGCAAGTAACTAATGTCAGTGATAAGGTCAAGGAAACCAATTTCCAATCAGTATGGTTGAAAAACCCGATCCGTCAGACCATTGAATTATTTGAATATTGGGATAATTAAAGTCGCCGATTAAAACAACATCTTTATAAATTGAGAATCAGCAACAAATTTCAAGAAACCTATTATTACCTATTAGTTCGTGCAGGAAATCAATTGAAGAATCAGGAAGGCGATAACACACAGCGACAAGAACATTTTTTAGATGACGATTAATCACAACATGCAGTCAACAGAAGCAAGTTCCAATGAAGCTGAAACAAAAATCAGTTGGTTCAGTTCTGACAGAATCTTTCACAGCTAACAATACATTGCTGTCTGTTCTATCTCATTCCAATATATTAACATTACTCATTAGTCAAGCGAAAGGTTGTTTATAAGTTAAGTAGCCATACTACTTAGAAATACCAATCTAAAATTAACATGCTGTCTACTTGTCTTATAAATAAATAAATAGTGGCTTGCTTAATTAAACAAAAGATATCATTGTTTGTGATTCCATGTTGATATTAAAATGACTGAAATTGTTCGGAGTGTTAGAGTGTTAGTTATTTGGTGATTGTTAATGCGACACAAAACCTGTTCATACAGGTTGCTGGCTATACCCTGTCAGTCTTGTTAAACTATTGGATCAACATGGCCAATATATTTGTATATATCGCGTGCATGCCACGACGCAGGTTGCGTGCGTAATGTTGATGTAAAGGGATTATTTGATGTTTATTAGTTCAGCCAATCAGCGTGGTTCTTTTAATTGAATTGATTGATACATAATTAAAATGATGTCAAAGCACGTCAGAACAAACATGCAAGTTTCAAGCGAGTATATATTGTAAGAACAGGATTTATAGTTTTATTTGTTATTTTGGTTTGAGTGCTGGCCGATCACGAAGTATAGGTAATTTAAAATAGTTGAGAAGATATTTCAAAAACGCAATGGAAAGTAAAGTGAGGATTGTTCTTAAGGTAGTTCATGGTGTAATTGGTATGTCTGCCGGGATATGTGGCTGTGCTGTGTTTGCTACGAAATATGACAACATAAATGCGGCTGTTTGGGCAGCCATATCCGCGTTCGTTGCATTACTCTATGTCCAAGCAAATCGTTCTGTTTACCGTGATGTAAAGCGTGTGATAAGTTCACAATGCTTTCGTATATATATGATTGCCGCTGGTGTGTTCATGCTTGCTGGATCTGTGGTTATGATTACATATTTGGCCATTGGACTTTCACACAATGAAGGTGCGAATTTCGACAATACGCCTTTGCCGAGTGGGGCAAACACAATTAGAGCAATAATAGCATGACCCTATAGTGTCGTCACAAAAATTCCCATTGGGACGAGGCAATAGTTTTACCATTGTGTTTGCCCCAATTACATTGTGAACCCCGAAAAGGCGTACAAATGTATAATCACCGAGGAATCACCTGATGATTCCTCTTGGCGGCCTTCGCTCGAAACGTCGACGTTTTCGGTTTTCCTTGTAGGTATAGTTGCATTTGGCAACCTTTAGCTCTATCTATGTGATATCGAGCACGTCTGTTTAGCATTACAGTGGTTATGTGACCAACAGTGGTTAAATATATGATGTTGTGATATTGTTCACTCTGTAATATGATAGGATGCATGAAGTGAGTGTATATCATCATATGGCACTCGCAGAACTAGTATTTTACAATTTTAAGTACAAAGTTCGAATTCATAATTTCCTGTCCTTTATCGGCCTTTGACCGTATGTAGCTCAGTTAGGGACCGGTCATAAAGTAGAGGGGGGGGGGGGGGGCTATGAAAATTGATTTTTTAAAGACTGGTTTACAGTGACCCACCCCCAAATTGTGACAATAAATTGAGGTGGCCCACCCCTAGATTAGAGCAGAAATCTTAGTGACCCCCCCCGTCATGTAGATAATGTACTGTACGGTAATGTAGATAGGTGCGCGTACGTTGGCAGCATTGGCTTACCACGATTCTTTACTAGTTTAGGCAGAATCCCCGAAAAATCTCCGAGATTGAAATGTTGTAACACGCCGCCCGACTCTTGAACATAATTCAACTATGTCCAAACATAATGCATGACAGTACATTCAGGGCCGTAGGAAGCTCTTTTCGATTGGGGGGGCTGAAAGCGAGGGCCGAAGGCCCGAGCAAATTTTTAAATTTAGAGTCTCTAAAATGCCATTTCCTGGACTTTGGGGGAAGATTTAACAGAATTCTGATAGTCAGAAAACAGCGTTTTAGTATGTCGAAATTTACAGGAAAGTATGGGCCAGACTGTAGTATTATAAATGCACGGCGGGAATTTTCGTCGTAAATGGCAGTTGCGCGGAAATGAAGGCAGAACATTTGAGAAAATTTCGAAAATCTGGAGTCTCTAGATGGTCTGAAATGGCATTTTCAGAGTTTTCTTTCGCAAGACCCAACACGCAAAAGACAAAATAAATCATTAGTTCATCAAAATGTGCAGATTTTGTGGGATTTTCTTGAAAATGCGCGACAGAAATTCAGCTAAAATTTCTACGCGAGGAACGATCTGGAGTATGAGTAATATCTTCATTCTTTGCAGTTTGTCACAGATTAAATGATAAAGTTTGCATGATTTTGAAAAAAGAATGATTATTAGCGAATTATTGGGGGGGCTGCAGCCCCCCAGCCCCCCGGTTGCTACGGCCCTGACATTGAGTAGACTACGGTAACTAGAACACTTCCCAATGTACTGTATACAAATGTGAATTCCTGTTGTTTAATCAGGGGCGAAACTTAAGGGGGGGTGTGGGGGGGGTGTTACACCCCCCAAAATACGAATCGTCCCGATTGGCAGGGCAATCAAAGGTCTCTTATAAATAAATGATAGCACATAGGCGTACCGGGCGGGGGCAATATTCGATCGGGGAGGTCGCCAAAATAATTTTTCCGGAAAAAATTTTTTGGTACTTTTTGGCAGGGCATCACTGGTTTTGGCAGGGCAATTCTGCCAGACACCCCCTAATTAAAAGGGGCTAGTTTCGCCCCTGTGCTTAATATATAAAGTTAATAGGTTAAAGAGATTTCGCAAAAGTTTTTATTTGCTATTTATTAAATTGTGAGACGTGAATAATTTTACCTGACCCACCCCTAATGCAGTGCATAAATTTTCCTGACCCACCCTTTTCGACGTGTTGAAAAATAGTGACCCACCCCCAATTTTTCATAGCCCACCCCCCCCTCTACTTTATGACCGGTCCCTTAGAAGAGAGTCGAGCTTGCATTTAGAAGATCGCGCGGGTTCGAAACCCAGCTGCTACCGGCAGAATTTTCTTGGAATTCTCTGCTTGCGAGATATATATGAAAATATGTAATATATATACAGTATATGTTCGTGTTTTTCACATACTATTTCAGTATTTCTTCATGTGATATAGTAAGTGTTGTTAACATCGCATTCAAGGACATAAGCGATATTGTTTATGTTGGACAGTGACGTTTGTTCGATCTTTGCGTACCAAAGCAAGATCCATGTTTATATTTAAATTCTGCACACCTTTGCGAAGCAACAGCAATCCCTATAAGCTACTTTACTGTTTGTTTGTCTGAAAGTGTACTCTAATTAAACTCCCAAGTGCCAAACAGCTGTTTTTTATTTTTACAAAGAACGAGAAAATATGTACATTTATTTATAAGTCTTTCCCGGACTGATTGATTTCATGTTGATTAATTCTTCAATTTATGTTGAAAATCCCAAAACGTCCAAGTTTAAATTTGGCGGCCAAGCGGTGGATTACTTGTAACAACAAATTGTTCATACTTTGATTATGATAGTTCGTTTTGAACCTCGCATTTTTGTGTGCAAGCCATCTTTACTGATAGTTCGCCAAAATAGCCTTTTTGTACTAGCATGTTAAATTTTAAGAAGAAAAAAATTAGTGACAGTTGAAGAAATTCAAGGGAAAGAGGTCACTCGCATAAAGCAATGGAATGTGTGATTGCTATCACACATTCACTGCTATCATGTATTCAATGTTATTATACAGTTACAGAGTTACTGCTATCATGCATACATAATGCTATCCACGCATTCATGCTATCCTGCATTCATTGCTATCATGATAACACTAACCTAAAAAAATACAAAAAGAAGGATGTGGGTCGGTGGGTTGGTTGGGTACCAGGCATACAGACATATAGATATTTTGTTGGGTGGTTGGGTGAGGCAGTTGTGTAATATCTTGACGGATTGCAGGCAATGTGCTTAATAGACTTACTCCAAGTCGACCTCTACTAAATTTGGTTGAGAAATGAAATCAGAAGAAAAACCTGACAAATGCGAGCGATGAAGTCGCAAGCGAGAGGACGACTTGTTCATTTACGTTTCGAGCCAAAACGGTAGCGAAAATGTGGTTATGTTTGTAGGAGAAGACCAGAGGGGGGAGGAGGAGAATAGCCTATAATCATACAGTAATAGTCATATAGTCAATCATGCAGTCAGCCATATTATCATATAGTTATATAGACAATATAGTTATAGTCATGTCATCATAGTCATGTAGTCATAGTCATATAGTCAAAATCATGTAGTCATATATTGTAGTCATATAGTTATGTAGTCATATATAGCCATAGTTGTATAGTAAACAAACACCCCATTCGGGTACCCCCACACATCCCAATGGAGTACTCCCAAACATCCCATTGGTGTCAAGCCTTGAAATAGCGCCGGACATCGGACGTTTGTCCGGCTGAAAACGTCAAAAATCGGTTTTGTCCGGCAAAATGTTCGATCCGCCGGACATTTTGTCCGCCGATAGATTTTTATTGCCACATAAAATGTTCGGCGATAACTATGTCGTATACGTAAGCGTTCTAACATAAGTCATTACTGATTACTACGCATAGTGCGGCGCTGTCAAAATCTGGAACATAATGTCCGGGAATTTTGTCCGGCGCACCAAAAAAGTTGCCGGACAAAGTGTTCGTCAGCTGAAAATATTTATTTCAAGGCTTGGGAGTATATAGTCATAGTATAATAGTCATGTAATCATAGTCATAGTCATAGTCAGAGTTGTCATTGTCATGATAGTCATGAAGCGGGCGATCTATAGGTCAGAGAAATCCCACATGCAGACGAGCCAAAGCAATGATTAAAATTATTGTCGCGATATTATCTTAGAAATGTTCGAACTGAATAAATCTTATTAATTCTACATATACGTTTAAAGAGTAATAAAATACTCGAAATAATAGATATCTGACAAAAAAATAATCTGTGTAATCTGTGTGTTTATGTAATTCGGTTCCGCTTTATAGTATTATCCTATTTCACTCCGTTTGCAATGCGGGAGTCACGCGTGCGCCCGGCCGCATCCCTTTGGTCCCTATGGGGCAGGGGGGGGATAATTCTACTTGTAACAGACGTATATAGGCTACATGCTCGTTGAAGTTTGAAATAACTGTACGCGTGATGTGGGTTGATGTAATAAGCCAATAAAGCAGGCAACCAAACAATTCCTGTGCTTAGAAACACTTAATTTTAAGAGCGACATTTTAGATATAGAACGTTTTTCTTTTGAGCAACTTTTTTTTGGAGAAACTTTTTTTGGAGCAGCTTTTACTTGCACAATCTGTCTAGGCCTACTCACTATTTCGCAAATTACTTCCTCGACTGATTCATTGTTTTTGTTGCTAATTATATAAACAAAGAGAAAGGACTTTGGGAAAGTCTGTATGTGCTTAAAAGTGAGAGACTCGTGGTTTAACTAGCCTTAGCGCTATTGGTCAGCCAGGCCGACTGCAAATTATTATTCCTACCTATAGGCTATACATTCCGAAACAACATGTCGACGACTTGTCCACTACTCTTAATATTCACATTCCTACCATCAAGATCCATATTCCTACCATCAATATTCATATTCACACTACTTCAAAACCCAGTATTCAGGGGCGGTTAAGGAGGGTTAAGAAACAGGATGTTAATGAAGGAGGGGCTGTTTTTCAAAACTGGGCGAGTGATTTTCTAGTTTCTATAAAGTGTGTAATGATTTTTTTATCCCTATAATATTAAACTTTTCTAATATTATATTTTTAATATTTAAACAAATTTTATAGGTTTAATAGAATGAAATGAGATCTACTATAAAAATACGTTGACGCGCACATGCAGTTAAAAGTCACGCGGCCGCGCTGAACAGAAAATGAGTATTATTTTACGCCTAACTGCAACAGAATTTTGCACTCAAACTTTCACTCTAAAACTAATCTATATATAAGTAACTCTGATAACTCACTGTGCTTTTTAAAAATAGGCCTTCCATCGTTCCAAAATGCTCTAAAAATTACTATTTTATAACAGGGCCTTTTTTAAGGCTTTTCCCGTGGGGGGGGGGATTTTTTGAAAAGGGACCTTTCTGTGAGATAATATATTAGAGGGGGATAGCAATGGCTGAAAGCCACGTGTGTGGCAAATATACCACGCATGAATGGGGGGTCTGGGGGTGTACTCCCCAGAAAATTTTTGAAATTTGACTCCCGGAAACTCATTTCCTGCATTCTGAGCATCCAAATTTGCTCCAAAATTTATCCTAACTATACTTGTATTTGAAATAAATAAAGGAAGAAACACACAAAAAGTAAAAAAAAATTGACCATCATTTATCATTACTTATTAGAGGAGGATAGCAATAGTTAGGTGTGTGGGGGTGTACTCCCCCAGAAAAATTTTGAAATTTGAACCACGGAAATGCCATTTCCTGCATTCTGAGCATCCAAATTTGCTCTAAAATTTATGCTAACTATAGTTGTATTTGAAATAAAAGATGGAAAAATGCACAAAAAGTAAAAAAGAATATTAACTGTAATTTATCATTACTTATTAGAGGGATAATCCCAAGAAAATGTTTGAAATTTGAAACCGTGAAATGCTATTTTCTGCATTCTGAGCATCCAAAAAA